AAAAAAAAAAGCATAGGTCAGATTCGAAGCCCAGAGCGCAAAAGCTAATCGAGCATTCTTGACCGCTCAGCTATCGATGACAAACATTCTAACTGAGTCATTAGCCATACATGAACTGTTTAACCAGGTATGAGGGCTTTAATTAAAATTGGAAATTTTTATTCAAATTTTGTTGTTTTAATTGTGTTGTAATGGAAGATTATTGTTTTAGTGTGTATTGCTCGGAATTCCGCTTTGGCCTTCTATACTTAAAGAGGATATATTCTATATTCTCTGGTAATGTATAAGTTCTTTTTCATCAGAGCTTAGGTTACATATATCTGCTCTGTTCCCCCACGACCGCCACTCGTGGATACGACTATACCTATATATACGGAAGGGGGCCAACCAATCAGAGGCGTGTAAGAGAGAGAAAGGTTGTACTTCTATTTGTTTTTTGTCTCTCTCATCTCGTCTCGCGGTCGGAGCATACAATGCTTCCTCCAAGTATATATTCTCTAAGATCACGCGCGGCATGGCAGAGCACGGGGGAAGGAGAGGGGGGAACGACCAGCACAGCTTGCACTGAGCCGAAATTTCTTTTGTCTCTCCGCCAGACGCCCAAAAAATCAAAGTCAAACGCATCTCGGAGGATCAAGCACAAATAGATTAGAGAACCAGAGTATACAAAATTATACGAAATCTGAATCTAAATGAGGAAGAACGAACCACGGATTTCAATTAAATTCATCCTTTCCATATCAATTTCATTTTACCCGGAGATAAGTGAAGTCAAACCATTTATATTCGGTGTCGAATACCCACTATTAATAATTCACCCATTAACGTATAAGGCAAAATCGCCACTCAGTTTAAAATTTATAGCTATAATTATACCTACAAATTATAGGTATAATCATAGCTATAACTACCTATGAAACAGCTATAATAATGTATAAAATTCAGCTATGAATGAAGCTATAAATTACAGCTGTAATCTTTTCACAAATTTTAAATAAAAATTAGTTTAAAATCAGATTTTTTCAACATACATGGATCAGTAAAGACGGTATCATCCGTGTGATAACAATAAAACTGAGGGCCTGAAGTAATTTTAAATAATTTTTGAAAAACTTGAAATTGTAAATAATGATTTATTGTTTTTTTTTCTACTTATTCGAAAATAATTCAGGATCCCATTTTTACTGTTATCATATGGATAATACCATCTATACTGATCAATATATGTTGAAAAAATCTGATTTCAAACTAATTTTTATTCATTATTTGTGAAGAATTCACAGCAGTTATTCATAGCTATATTTATAGCTAAATTTTATACATTATTATAGCTGTTTCATAGCTAGTTATAGCTACAATTGAAGCTATTGATTATAGGCATATTAATAGCTATAAATTTTTGACTGAGCATCCTCCTCATTTGTGTGACGAGATTCTGAATCAAGTCAAAGATCTATTCAATAACTATATAATTGAAGAATCGACTAAACCCTATACCTTCTCCGTTACATAGTCCCCAACAAACGCAATTCGCAAGGGAAGAGACGTAACACGTTCGTTATTGACTTTCGTGCGTTGAATAAAAAGATGGTCACGCCCGCATAAACCTTATACTAAGGCGTATTCGGTCAATGTCCCCAAAAGTAGTAACGAACGTAAAAGGAAAATTCAAATAAGTTCTAACAATATATCACCCGATGAGCCCAGATGCTTACTAGCCACTCTATTAAATTATGTATTATTAACTAACAACAAAAATGCCTATCACCCAATGACCCAGGCGCTGACTGACCACTCAGTTGAAAAAATAATTTTTAATAACACAAGCGCCTATCACCTGATAAACTAGGGCGCTGACTGAACACTGTTAAATAAATAATTTTTAAAAACACAAGAGCCTATCACCCAATGACCCAGGGCGCTGACTGGCCACTCTGTTAAATAAACAATTTTATTAATATCACGCAACTATCACCTGATGACCCAGGGCGGTGACTGGCGACTATCTTAAATAAATCATTTTTATTAAAACAAGCGTCTATCACCCAATCACCCAGACCGCTGACTGGCTACTTTGATAAATAAATAATTTTTAATAACACAAGCGCCTATCACCTATATAACCAGGGCGCTGACTGGCCACTCTGTTGAATTAATAAGTTTTATTAACACATGCGTCATTCACCTAATAATCCCGGGCGCTGACTGGCCACTCTGTTGAATAAATAATTTTTAATAACACAAGCGCGTATCACCCAATGACCCAGGGCGCTGACTAACCAGTCTGTTAAATATACAATATCATTAATAACACGCGCCTATCACCTGATGACCCAGAGCGCTGACTAGCTACTCTAATAAATAAATAATTTTTTAAAACACAAGCGCATATCACCCAATGACTAATGGCGCTAAATAACCAGTCTGTTAAATATACAATATCAATAATAACACGCGCCTATCACCTGATGACGCAGGGCGCTGACTGGCCACTCTGTTAAATAAATAATTTTTAATAACACAAGCGCGTATCACCCAATGACCCAGGGCGCTGACTAACCAGTCTGTTAAATATACAATTTCATTAATAACACGCGCCCATCGCCTGATGACCCAGGGTGCTTACTAACCAGTCTATTAAATAAATAATTTTCAAAAACACAAGCGCCTATCATCCAATGCTCTAGGGTTCTGACTAACCAGTCTGTTATATATACAATTGTGTCTATAACACGAGCCTTCACCCAATTACGCAGGGCGCTGACTGGCCACTCTGTTGAATAAATAATTTTTAATAACACAAGCGCGTATCACCCAATGACCCAGGGCGCTGACTAACCAGTCTGTTAAATATACAATTTCAATAATAACACGCGCCTATCACCTGTTGA